CAGTCGGCAGTCTCCTTAGTATCAACAACAAATAACTAACCTCAATTTTAAGCAATTCATGCATAGAGAATAGATACGTACATAGAATCATTGACTATATAACACCATTATAACACTAATGGAATCTTTTTGCCGTGGAAAGTGAGTAGGCCTACATGAGCATTGAGTATTCTTATCAAAGTTATTAACAAGTACAAAAATATCTACAAATGAGAATTGTGTCTTTAATGCTTGTTTGAGCTCCCTAATAATAACAATATAAATGTTTTTGTTTTTAGACAGACAACCCAGTAAAATAACGTGTCCTGTTTTCTCTGGTCATAATATATATACATATATATGTATTATATATCTAAGACAACGGAAAAGTAATCCTGTAAAGTAAACTAAAACTGTTTGTAAAAAAATAATTTGCAGACGTCATTCATACTATGTTCAGAGAAAAATAATAGTTTTAATTTTCACATAAATTACATAACACTATGTTAATTTTTAAGAATTAATTGGCAACAGACTTTAAATCAAAGATATTTAGTTTAAAGTAATTGTGACTCCAGTCATTTTTACTACAGTGTAAAAGAGTGTTATTTCATCCAAATATACATACAATATGTTATCCACTCTCCTTTTATTCATTGTTGTACAGTTGGTAACTAACTAACCTTACCTTGTCGTCTTCATGATCAAAGCAGACTCAACTGTCGTCGTCAGTCTCTCAATGCCGTCTCGTCGTCTACTGTCTGTTGTTATTCAATCAGTTGCAATCTTGATACTTTCAATGCATTAAAACTTGGATATGTAAACAGTATTGGGACAAAATGGGAAAATAAATAGTCAACAATAGTTCTCAATAGTTTAATAGAATCTTCAGAATGTTGATTTAACCGTGGCGTGATTAAATTGCGCATAGTTGAAAAAATAAACTGACAGAACAAATCCCGTCCCGAGAAAATCCCGAATTGAAAGTAATCCCGTCCCGATGATCGGGAATTAAATATTCCCGAAAATTTCCCGAAATTTCGGGACCCGTCCATCCCTATATATTATAATATATCTAATATATAAAATTCTCGTGTCACAGTGTTTGTCTGCAAACTCCTCCGGAACGACTTCACCGATCGTTATGAAATTTGGTGTGTAAATTCTGTAGGTATGCGAATCGGACGTAAACTATTTCCCGTTTCGAAATTCTTAAAAGGGCTCCGCCCCAGTGGCTCTGGAGTTTCCCATGTTAACCTTATGAGAAATGGAATTAATGAATCTTAACAGCTGTTTCAATTAAACAAGTTGGTTCTGTTCTATGATGTTCAATAGCATTAAAGTTACAAGGATTACCAACAGGGTGCAGCACTATTATTTCTTTTACATTTATGACAACAGCTAATTTGCAACCAAAAGGTGAGTGAGCGTAGCGAACGAACTTCAACCTGGAGGCGAGTTAGCGTAGCGAACGAGCTAACCTGAAGGCAAGTGAGCGCAGCGAACGAGCTCCAACCTAAAGGTGAGTGAGCGTAGCGAACGAGCTCTAACCTAAAGGTGAGTGAGCGTAGCGAACGAACTTCAACCTGGAGGCGAGTTAGCGTAGCGAACGAGCTAACCTGAAGGCAAGTGAGCGCAGCGAACGAGCTCCAACCTAAAGGTGAGTGAGCGTAGAGAACGAGCTCCAACCCAAAGGTGAGTGAGCGTAGCGAACGAACTTCAACCAGGACGTGATTGAGCGATGCGAACGAGATCATCTTGAAAATTAAACGTAACGGTACTTTCTTTCCATCGGTCTGTCTTAGGGGAAACCTATAACTTAGGCGATACGAAGTTCGCCGGGTCAGCTAGTATATATATATATATGTGTCCGTTAGCGCGATAACTCGAGCAAAAATGATCCGATTTTGATGAAATTTGGTACAAACGTGTAAACCTACGTTTATTCGAACGAGTTCGCGAACCAGCATGATCGGACCATGGGAACGGGGGTTTATGGGGGCTTTAATGGGGTAAAAATGGGGTTTTCCAATTTTTGACCCAAAAAACATAAAATTTTGTAATTTCTTTCCAAACTATTTTGTAGAGCTTAAAAAAACAAATAATTTAGTATATTGAAGTGTTATAATGCGCCTAATAGTTACGGAGAAATTGTTAATTTAAAATTCCCATATTATTCTTATGGAGAATAAGTAAACTGTTGTAGTTTGCTTGTTTATTAACATATTTCGCCCAAATTTGGAAAATGTTTTAATTTCTTACTAACTATTAACATTTTACATAAAAAAACACTTTTACCCTCCCTGTTGCAGCAAACCTAAGTATGTGTTAAACTGATTCTATTTAAATAGGGAATAAATTTGATATTTTTATGGAGACATTTTAGTGTAAATCCAATCAGGCAAATGGAAATTCGCTTAGTCTGCAGGTTTGCTGCGGCGGGGGTATTTCAATTTACTTTGTAGCCATTTAGGACTATATTGCTGGGGGAAATAGTTGTTTGAACCCATCCCACTAACATTCATAAGGGCCAAATACTTCCCATCTGATCTGAAAATATCGTAGTCCATCCACCTTTTTCCGAAAACATTCGTCATACAATGCCTCATAAAATCATATTAGACCTTACTTTGAAAGTTGTTCAAGAGCTACCAACACTGTTCATTTCTCGCTGCCAAACGGCCAATTTCAATCACTATCGCATGAAATAGTTTAGTAAATACAGTAATTTTACTGAAAACGGTAATGCAATATTTACAACATTAGTTTTTCTGAATAAACGGTAAGCTTGCTGCGACATTGGATGCAGACTTGACGTAGACCGTTCCCGCCATATTGCACTGCACTGTATTTATGGCGCAATAACGTCTTACATTGACCCATTCACATTACTCGTGTTGCTGTTTGCCTTGCGTACTTTCTGCCTCTGTGTGTTTTAAACTCTGCATTTACTCAATCCCGTTGTAGGCCTATTTTATTATACACTGGTCCGCAAAACTTTGTTTTCGCCGCTTTATTTTATAATATAATTGTAATAAATAAGTCAACTATCAATAGATAACATTTATTTTCCTTAACAAAACTAATTATAAATTATATTATTTCAATACAATTATTTTACAGCGGAATTATAAAAGAAAATGCAAACTTTACCCTTATTTCCCAACTAAGTCCCAGTTTACGGAAAAATCAGTAAAACCGTAATTAAAATTATGCAATCTTGTAACTGTCTTTATCCTAGCAGAGTTAAATGAATTATTACGCTGTACGATCATATAAGTAATCAAATTAATGAGTTACTATCTTTTGAGCAAAACCACAACAATCTATGTAAACAAACATAATCTCAATTATTATTGTTTAAGTATTTTAAAAACGTGTACAGGGATACAATATGGATACTATATAGGCCTACGTCGGGGTTTTAGTTAGTGTCGTGATATTGTGTGTATGTCAATAATATAAATATTTATTAGTTTAGATTCTAGTTTTTGGCATTTATTAGTTTTGAACCTACAATTATAAGCGTGTGGCCTTTGTCTTCAGCCAGTAGCTCCAGGAAGGCTTGCACCGCTATGTTTGTTTACTAATACGGTCAGGTATGTTGACCAACTATGCTCACCCCTCTGGACCGCTACCCTCCACAAGTGAGACAATACTACAACCCTAACTTCCCGGAACAAGCCCACGTTGGCTGGGATCTGCGAAATCTTGGAATTTCGTTCCTGGTCGGACAAAGTGGATGTTTGTATTCTCGAAATATGCAGCGTCTAAAAGGCGACATGAGGTTTTTAAGTATTCAAATTACAGTAAAATTTCTCCAAACAAAAACTTTTTATAATACATGGTAACGTGGAACTTCTAATGTAAAAATAGGATTGGGTATTCATCATAAACGGGCGTAACAAATAGTCGTGTTTTATTTTAAATGATTTCAAAAACAATTTCTTGGATTCCCGATTAGACCACACATATTTTACGTCACTTATTCTGAATTGCATGAGAATGGCTTTCGAAACAATGAAATAGAGGCATACAGTTTTATTCAAAAAAATTAATGGTAATGAAATGATAGAGGTCAATGCGACGTGTTTATTTAATTAAGGATTGAAATATCTTTGATAATCAATGGCCTTAAGTATGTAATTGTTATTTGACCTAGTGGTTCGGATCCAGCTCAAGTTGCAGGCTCACTTTACAGAAAACCGGCAAATGGCAGGCCTACATCTTTTGGAAAACTCCCTTACTAAAAATCTATTACGATCAATATGATATTTGGCCGAGGTTATGCTTTTTGATAATATTCACAATTTTTGAGTACGAGTGTATTTAATAAACATAAATTAGGTACGAGGTTTCGTTTTGTTTCTCATAAAGAACAATTCAATTAATATAAGAAGAAATATTTACTTTACAAAGTATGTCTTGGTTGGTTGTGGTCAGTGATTAACACCAAAATAATAATTTTCAGAAAGGGCAAATATTACTGGGCTATGCTTTAATTTTAACCTATCTCATGCTATTTTATCTTCTCTCTGCCTATATTTTCATGATAATAATCATATTTTTCTATGTCTATGTACATTTTCTAAACCTGTACAAATGTTATAAACTTCTCATTCGGACACTGATATACAGTATGTAAATTAATTTATGAAATGAAGTAATAGATAAGCAAATGTTCGCATTCTTGAATCTCGTCAATGGCTAATTCAATTGGAACGGTAAAATTGCATACTTAAACCTGAATTTAACAAACACATTTTATTACTAAAATTTCAGTTCATTTTCATAGGTTAAATTACAACATTGATTCATTTTCTGTCAGGGCCAGGATTCCGATGTCGTTACCAAACAACTAAATGGATGGATATCAATATTCTCAGGGTAAAACATTTGTGTTCAAAACATGCATTGTGACAGTTTCTAATATCAAATGTGGGGCTTTCAAACTTGGCATTTCGAAACTGTTTGTATACTATTCTCCAGTCTTTTAATTTGGTTTTAAATTGTGTAAACAGGTGACGGTGCGGAGCTGTTTGGGCCAGATCGTAAGTTGACCTTTGGAAATTATAGATTACATTTTTTCAATTGGACGATAACATTCTGAACTAACAATTGCATCTCAACCTTTTATTTATTACATTTTTTTAACAAGGGGTGTACCGGTACGCAATTGATTATTTTTGTAAACTTCGGTATTTACAATTGGTTAGTCTGGTTGCATGAGATATTTATTATAATAGCATCGTCAATGACACAAGGATCAAAATTATTTATTGTAGCCTATTGGGTTTATAATAGAGTGTACAGAATTGTTCATTACACAAATCTCAGCATGATACTGTAGTACTGGTCACTATCAAGTCAATAATTTAGGCTTAATGAATATATTTGATAGTATATGTCCGTCAGCTATTTCTGGCCCATTTACGATACCCAGTATGTTTTTATGTTTTGCAATAAATCATGGGTAGTCACGTTTTAAAATCGTAACTAGGCCTGATGTATTTAGTAAATGAGTCTCGTTCACTAAAATTCGTTAATAACATTCAACTTATTCATTTATAAAATTCAAAACTTAAAATAAAAGTACGACAAATTCAAATTACAAACCTAAACTGCAGAGAGTAGACTAGCTATTTGTACGTTTCCTTAAAAAAAAAAAAACAAAAAAACTACGGTTAGCTACAAACAAGATGAAAGCACATAATCTTAGCTGAAACAATAACTATAGTAGTGTGTGAGTGTAAATACCAAATAACTATTTCCAGAAATGGCGAGAGTGTCATATTTAACCAGACGTATTTACAAAATATATCTCACTTTTTAAACTATGGTCAGTCTCAAATGTATTATTGTATACGACTATCATACTTATCTACGTAATCACCTATGTAAACAAGTGGTGTAATAGTATATTTCATAACGAGAGTAGAAAGTGAGTCATTACATATTTGAGACCAGGTTTGGTCGAGAATGTATAGACCCACTCTCACTTGTGTTTTGAACGTCACCTTTTGCCACACTACAAAGACTAATTATTTTCTTAAATTAACCAACTTTAGATACTTCTGTATTATAATTAGGAACATTACAAAACTCATAGCATTTCTTAGGTTATGCCTTCAATTTAAAGTTAATATTTACTTTGTGGCTGTACAGTTTTTGTTGTTGAAAATTGAAACAGTTATCAAAACGACAAAACAAAAACAAATATTTGTTTGTTTACGTCGGCAAAATCGAAAAAATATAGTAAACATTAGTCTACATTCGCATTCGCATAGTATACATTCTTTTTCCGTGGTAAACAATGTAATGATAAATTTTCGCATGTGATAAACATGTTACAAACACAGGTCATTTCACACTACATTAGTGTAGTGCAAACAAAATAGCCTAACCTTAAGATTGATTAAAGGACAATAATTGCGCATGTGTGCTATAATTTGTTTATTTGCATTATTTTTTTTTATTATTAGAATTTATTTTACAATCTGTTCAAACAAATATGAGAACAATAAGTAAAATTAGTAACATAAAAAATGGCAGGAAGCAAGCACCTGTTCATCAACAAGTCTTGCAAAAAATTGAATCAATCATTTAAATATTTGCAGAAATCTGTAGCTTAGGTCCAGCACATGTACAACACTTTTTAATCTGGTAATGCACTGACTGTTGTCCAACAGATTAACAGCAAGACTTTATGATATTCTAATTTGTCTTGATACTTTTTGCTAAGGTCTGTAATTTCTTCTTTCACTGATTTAATTTTGAAGTCATCTCTAATTGTAGCGTTGGATACGAACCAGGGTGCGCCAATAATTCTTCTCAGCGTCTTAGCCTGAAATCGTTCAAGAATGTCGATGTTGGATTTGCTCGAGGTCCCCTAAAGTTGAATTCCGTATGTCGAAATTGGTTTGATCATAACTTTATACAGTAAAATTTTGTTAGCCAATGATAATTTTGAATTCGTACCTATTAGCCAATTGAGTTTACGAATTTTTAATTCCATTTGCTGTCTCTTGCACCAGATATGAGATTTCCAATTTAAGTTTTTGTCAAGAGTTAGACCTAAATATTTTACACTGTCTGCCTCCGTTAAGGCTACATTATTAATGGATACTGGAGGATTGTACTCTGTTCTCAGTGGACTTGTTTTCGCTGACTTTTATCCTTCACTTTTTAAGCCAATATTGGAGCTCAGTCAAGGCAGCTTGTAGATTAGTGGAAGCGACTTGAGGGTTCACATTTGCATTAAATCCGATATACTGTATTTACACTCTAACCAAGACGTGCAAAAACGGATTAATGTGGGAAAGTTAAAATTACAATAGAGTTATCCATTTGAGTCGTTCAGTCGTTTATCAAAGTTGGACCTCAGGTACATAACAAAAAGTTTAGGCGCTTTTATAGTCGCTTTTCTTAATTTTGTAATAAATAAAGTTTGTTTAACCAGTCATTAACAATTATACAGTGCCATGTCATGTCTACCTTGTCAATTACAGTTAAATCTAATACATATTTAATTTACAGTCCTCCCAATTACGACCTTTTCACCCCTAGACATCTAATCTGCCCGTCACGCGACCATTACTAGTGGTCATTAAAGATGGCGGCTCCACGGAACGCGAGGTTATTTACAGCGCTTTTTGTCGGCTTAATTTCCATAAAGCCTGGACACACATTTATGACGGCTATCCGCTACAAGATGGGATCAGCTATAAACAGCTGGCGGCCGCCATCTTGGGGCCCCGACCAATCAGCGCGCAGGGCGGGGCGCGGCGCGCTCTTTGAAGTACTAATGATGCACGATCATTCCTAAGCGTCAAAAAAGAATTAATAGGTGATAATTGCTCGGGAAACCTCTCGGAAACGTGCGAGGTACAAAATATTTCACCCGTTCGCGGAAAAATGTTGAATTTGTGTGACGTGGTGAGAGGTGTGAGAATGTAAATGGTCTTGGAACATGGGAACACTTTTAGCTGATAAGTCAGCAATAAATAGTTGATGGCTACTCAGTTCTTGGGAGGGAATTGATTAAAAAGAAACACCAGGCTGTTAAAAAAAAGAAAAAAAAACAGTCAGGGAAAGGGCTTAAGCTGATTCTGACGTGGTTGAAATCTAATACCTAAGTATCGTACAGTACAGTATCGTGTGAATATTTTAATGTTAGTTTAAAAGAAATAATTTAAGTCACAATTAATGATATTTTAAATATTTTTTGATGAGTCCCTACTTCGTGGGTAATAAAGGAACCAGCGTATTTTTGTAGGGTAAAAATTGTTTTTGTTGTGAATTTATACAAACAAAAACTAGATTTAGGGTAATCATTGAAATACTTAGGCCTAAATTGTGATAAAGGAAACAGTACCATTTATTCATAATTAGAATTTAATTCTAATATCAATAATTAAAAATGTGTTGTCATGACTCAAAACATTAGTATTAGTAAAACACACAATTAAATAAACACAACATGTTAAAAAACTAAAACTAATAAATAAGTCAAGTCGAAATATAGAATTTGGCAATGGATACTAGTGGAGCGAGTCATGCTAAATCAAAACAAAACTACTTCATGGCCATAGACACAATATACATAATACATGCTTCGGCTCGAGATAAATGCGATACGTGCTGAGTGAGTAAATAATGACAGGTGAATGTCATTATCAAGTGACCGAACTGTGTTTTTAAATTCTAAAAAAAATTGGATTAACTAATTTGGATTTCGATAACTATGTAAAACATTTTACCATCAACAGTAACAAGAAATCCTTTGCTGAAAAATATCCTTCGTTTATGGGAAATCTCGTCAAACACAAATGTAAAACAAAATGATCCAACAGCCCCTGCAGTATGAAGAAAGCAGTGGCACGATTTCTACCACATTTGCCTAATTATTTTGCCTAATTTTTTCTGCGTGTAAGAAAATAATTTTCTTACACGCAGAAGACATTGTCGCTCAGTTCCAGTTGTGTTTTGTATCTCGCAGTAATGTGCGTAATTGTATAATAATGTATAGCTGAGAGTTGTAAGGTAAACATTTGTTAACGAATTGTCTACAGTCCTACCAAATTCAGCGACCGTCCTGCATAGTTTAACCGTGATAAACACAGAAACTCATTCATGCGAAGCGCATAAATCATAAAGATGAGTCGTATATGACTCATAAACCATTTATTATATTGAGCCGCCGTGGCTCGTAGTATATGGAGTCGTCAGTTTATGGAGTCTGGTTTATGGAACAATAACGCTGATGGCATCTTTCTACTGATAACTTTGTTATTGTTGCACCGATCAAATAAATCTGCTATCTCGCTACCGTAGTCTAATTGTTGTAATGTATATAAACTGTTATTGATTTCAATTACTTTGTTTTTTATTATATTTTTACTAATATTTTCAATTTCGATGGAATAATAAAGTTGTTCGGGTTTGTAACAATAACAATGAGTATTGTAACAACTATTATGATACATCGTTTTGGTATAAAGTTAAATAACTGTTATTAAAATATAATTTACGACAACTACAATAAGGGAGTAAAGAGTGTAAGAAGTAAAAGTGATTACACATTACGGGCAGTAAGAAGAAGAATTTAAATTTAGGACAGTATATTTTATAAATAAATTTTTGTTAGGGATTAACCTTATGATATAAGTTAGGTTTATAAACTCGTCAAGATAGATTATACCAATATTTTGAACTAATTAAGAGTAAGAGTGGAATCCGATCGATGGGATTTAATTTTTAAAATTATTTTCTGTGATAGTACTAGATTGGAGCAACTCTTTGTTTAAGGGTAGTTTTATAACTTCAGTAATAAAAAATACTCTTTCGGGCATAACATTACGGCAAAAAATCGCATAAAATAGTATACATAACATTCACATGATTTTTTAGAGGTTTAATTTTTCGAAGGGTTATATTTCTGCAATAATAATGTTTGTTTAGTTGTTGGCTGCGGCTTGGGGCGTTAGTTTAAAAAGCCAGGACTACCAATTTAATAAAATAAAAACCCTTCTATGTTCGATCCGTTGTTAGT